CCAAATTGCAAGAGGAAAAGAGAACGGCTAAGAGGCTAAAGTGTTATGTTATAAAATATTTATCCACCCATCTTACGTCCGGGTGTAAAGAAAGTCAGTGTTGCTCATTTAGGCAGATTTATAGCGCCCTAAATATTTAAAGATACGGCACAGAGGCGGCTTGTTGTGGATTTATAATCCGAATACCCAGAAAGCTCCTCTGGCTAGCAGACACCACGTCACATGGAACTTACGACACCCGACAGAAAGCACTGTTGCAAACGACACTGTCATTTTCACCTTTTCTTACCTCAAATCCTTTCTATCAGAGATAATACGATTCACAAATGTTTTCTACTTATTTTCTAATTTCGCGTTACTTTATATGTTCTTGTATCACAGCAGTGACTGTTCGTCCAACACACTTTCATTATCACTAGCATCTTCAAAATGATTTTTTTTTAGATATCTGAGTAAAAATTTAATTTGCCGAGAGTTCGCAACCAGCCGTGAACAACACAGACAGAAATAAACGAAACGAAGTACACGAGGAAGAAATAATTCAGTGTTGGCGTTGTGGAGCAACGTTTCAGAGGCAATGTCTACATTTTTAGCCGCAAATATCAGCTCTTCATTTGAACCGTAAACGCTGAAAAAGTGAGGTTGCAAACTAGCAGCGGACATACTACATTCCAGTAAAACTAGCGACGGAAATAAACGTCAGGTGATTCAGCGGTAAAACAGTGCAACTGGTAAACACGTGGCTGCTAGTAAATGCTGTTTCGACTCTACTTATAGACTTGCCAGCAAATGCTGTTTCGACTCTACTTATAGACGACGAAATGGGGGAGCCTGGCTCCTCAGTTTTCCAAAGTCCTGTGTGAGATTTAAATTATTTCAAGTGAAGACTCGATACAGCCCAGTTAATCTGCACGGTCTATGTGACGCAGTGCTGCCCTCAGCAAATAACGGAGAAAATTCGCATTTGTGCGAATGGGCGAGGGGGCGGATAGACTGCTACGTCTAGGTCTATTTCGTTTCATTAAAGTACGACAGAATGTTTGAGTGGCGGTCTGACTGTCGAAAGTCGCTGGGCAGCTAATAACCTAGAATTTTATGGCCCCAGCGTCGGTCGTGTTGACCGACCATTCCCTATGCGTAGCTCACAAGCGAGGTTCTCTTACTGCACAGGCAGGTTATCTTGGAATCCAAATTACGGACCAACCGGGAGGAGGGCAGAAGAGGAACAAGGTTTCTGTACGAGTCTGGTTGGAAACATTTATTCCGAGCATGGCTGAATTCTGGGTTGTAGCGCGCAGTGTAGTCTGGTAGAAGTTTACCAACGTTTCAGAGGTCCTTGCTGCCTCCATCATCAGGACTAAATTTCCATCGGAGTACACGGCGAAGCTCCCAAGAAGACAGCCATCTTCGGACTCACCACCGTGAGAATCTCAAATCCTACTTGACATTTGTTCCGAACCGAACCTTCGACCACTTGTTCATAGTACTGCGTGCAGCTACACGCCAGCAATTGCTAACACCATCAAAAGCAGATTTAACAAAGTCACTCACAGTAAGAATAAAATGGAGCTCTTTAATAATAACGGTCTACCAATGACTTATTATCAGTGGGCAGAAATCCTGTTCGTCTGAACTGAAATGCCACAAGATAGAATCCAATAGAGAAATTTTGTTAACAACATAATGAACTTATAAGTTCTATTAAATAACAAAATTGTGCAATCATATTTCATGTTGTCAAGGCGGCGAGTATGAAGACGGGAACCTTCTGGGATATTGCGCAGTGTAGTCTAGAATAAATTTACCGACATCGCCATGACGATGAAGGCAGCAAGGACCCCCTGAAACGTCAGTAAACTTCTATCAGAGTACACGGTGCGACATCTCAGAAGCCAGACATCTTCATACTCGCCTTGATAGCATGAAATCTCAAATTTACTTTAACTTTTCCTCAAATACATTTGGAAATATTATTTTGTAATCTGGTATATAATTGCCTTTGTTGCTATGAATTTAGTTTCTTCCTAACTGTAAAAAAAAATTGAGTTTCTGGATTAGTGATTCTAATGAATTCAATGATATCATTCTACATTTCTGTGTGTAATTAATGAATTAATAAAAGAATACATTAATGTTAGCATGCGTAACATCACTGCTCTTCTTAGCCAATGAAAAGCAGTGAAACTGAAATCAGTAGGCAATGGTAGGATGGTCGCTTTCTCATTACCTTCCTCACTACACTGCATAATTTATTATTATATACGCGGCAATGGATCGTGAACACAGTGGCTGTACACACTAGAGGCACCAACTTAATCATTTCAGGTTAAGTAGATCAGAAGAGATGGGGCGTGTTCCCTCACCAAATATTAAGGTAGTTTCTAAAGATTCTGGGAAACTTCAACATAATTTTTTACACAGTTCACTGTGGTCTACGTCTTCTGATAACGCCGTGACTTACATTTAATAAAAAATACATTCGTAACTACACTTCAATAATCCGCCACAGGAAACGTACGCCCATTAAATAAAGGTTTTGAGAATTACGCAGTTATTTGAACGTTAAATAAATATGAATTAATTAAATTCCTTAGGTTCTAAATTGCAGTTATTTGAACGTTAAATAAATACAAATTAATTAAATTCCTTAGGTTCTAAATTATGATAATTGAGAACGCAACAATCCCATTTATTTGATTCATGCTAAGAACATAACAAGGGGCTTTTTCATAATAAATACTGCAGCGTCAGAAGACACAGTGAATCCCCATTACGCTTGAGTCCGAGCATAAATAGATCACCATTTCATTCCGTAAGTCCGTGAAATTTGATACGGTTCAGTTATTTGGTGTTTGGATCGCCAAAACTTCGTGAATAAAGAGAAATCCACAAGCTAAGTGTAGACGAATGATTTCATGGCTACAGAATGCGGGAACGGAACAGGGGGAAAGAGATACAGAACAGAAGAAGTGAAAAGAATGAGAAAACAGACGGAGTCCGTGAAAATGAAATATATAGATTGGATGGGGTTCTTTCTGTTTGAAGACACACGGGGCCTAAGGGTCGTATCATGCAAGCTGCCACGAGCCTGGAGACCACACTGTCTCATCTCCGGCGTCGGCGTCCAACCAGAACACAGCCCATAACGAATCACTCTTCGAGGAGAGACAAAAACTTAAAACAAGAAAGAAAGAAACTTAAAATATTTGGCATATTCTCGTTTAAAGGCAAGGTTATATCTTAATGCTTCAGAAATAAACGAAACATTTCCATTCAGAATTCAAAACAAATATGAAGATGGCGGTCTTCTGGATTCTTGTGCAGTGAGGTATGTTAGACATTTACCGACGTTTATGAGGTGGCTATTGCCTCCGTCATAAGGGCGATGATCATCCTGATAAATACATGCATAATTTAAATCTTCGGACAATAATTAGTGATACTGTTGTTATCAATTCCGCATTTATTTCTCAAAATGGCTCGTTTCAAAAACTATTCAACATAAGGTAATAACATTCCGTCTTCAACGTGAAAAATGTAGTAGACTCACCGAGTAAATGACAACACAAAGATAGTTTCTTCACGTGAAAGATTTAAAAAGTTCATATTATTAACCATGTGAGATTAACTACTTATGACTTTCAATAATCTTTGCGGACAATTTCTACGGACTGGACGACAGGGGTTCGATTTCCGACGGAGGCAGAGGATTTTTCCTCAAGCCTCCTATCCAATGGGTACCAGGGTCCTTCCCCCCAGGGGTAAAGCGCGGCCGGGACGTGACGCTGACCACTCACCCCCATCAAGTGCCGAGGTTAAAAAATGTGTAGGAGCTATATGTCATCTCCCCCCAAGCGCCTACATGGCGAAAAGTGGGACAGCATTACTTTACAGCTTTGTGGGCATTTTTAAAAGCGGCTTAATATTACTTTAGCAAAATTACATGACACTTTACCCTAAACGTTTCAATTTTTTAACAATACAAGAAGAAATCCGTTTTAGTCTACGTTTACAGATGAAAAATGCATACAGCGCTCCTCGTGTATATTTTTAAAACGAGAAAACAGAGTTCAAACAGACCGGATGTTGTCTGGCCGAAATAATAACAATAATGATGAAATCTACAGATGAATAGATTGTGAATATCTAAGAGAGAGTAATGAATGTTACAAGACAATCAATCCACGCCTCATGTGGTGACTGCTAGCTTGTGGAACAGTTTCATTCAGTGGGACATAACGATGGACTTGCATGGAGATTTCCTCAGCAGATAACTAACGTAGCAGTAATCAATGGCAACAACAAAGCAGCGACAGACTATACTTTTCGAAGTTAACATTAGATATGTTGTCAGCTGAAATATATAATTTTCCATTGCTTAATGAACCGTACAATTAATCGAAGCGTAAATGCATAATGAACGCAGGAGTATGCATACGCCTTCAAAAGTAGGCGCAGACGGGACGCTATAACTGAAGTAATTTCCAGGTTCGTTCTGTATTAATGAGGTTACTGATGTCACAAGTTCTGTACTACAAGTAATCCTGCAGCCAATGTTATCAAACTTTCTGGGCTCGCGGTGAATGGCTGACTCTCAGTCAGTCTCACTTCCGATCATTAAACGTTGTGATATATTAGAAGAGACGTGTAGTCTGCTAGAAGAATGTCGACGTTTTAGAGGAGCTTGTTGCCTCAATCGCCCTAATAATTAAGAAGATCAGACAAAAACCGAGGAGATAAAACTTTTACGATTTCGGAAGTTTTTAGCAGAACACGCAGAATAAGAAATTAATATACAAAAAAATCAAACACATGTATTAATTAAATTATAAAATAGACGGAAATACGATACAGTGGGAAAACCATCTGCAAAAGAATGTATAA